GACCCAGTGGTGGAGGGCTAGTGGTAGCAGAGTGTCAGACACCATAACAAACCCGTGACCCAGTGGTGGAGGGCTAGTGGTAGCAGAATGTCAGACACCATAACAAACCCACGACCCAGTGGTGGAGGGCTAGTGGTAGCAGAGTGTCAGATGCCTTAACCACTGCAGCCCCTTAAATAGTGAGACATGCACTGACGATTTTAGTGTTTAGATTAATTTTCTTTTTTAATGTACCTGACATAGGTGATACAGGTAAACTAAAATAATGATCAAGACACTAAAATTATCAGACCAGCAACTTTTTTTTTCAAAACAGACAAAACCCAAGTATGTAACCAAGTGTCAACAAACTGTAATTTGAACCCAAATTGACAAAAGTTAGGCAAAATATGAAAAATAAAATAAATTTCTTTTTTAGGAAGAGTAAAAAACAAATCTCCAATAGAAAATCATCAATTTTAGCCAATAATGATGACATCAGCTTGACTCAGATATTGAGTAGGTTAATTCCATATGGAAATTTTCCAAATTAATTTGTTCTAATTCTTTTTGGCTGCTCTGGACTTATATAGTCTTTTGATTGAAAAGACCATGAACAGACAATGGATGGATAGGCAATATTAACAGACAATTAATGGACAGACAAAAGACAAGACAACGAATATCAAGATAACAGACAGACAATGAATGGACAGCCATTGGGTGGACAGACAATGGACAGACAATGGATGGACAGCCATTGGATGGACAGACAATGAACAGACCTACAATGGATGGACAGACCTCTGTTATATGTCACTTTACTGTGAATAGCAATAGATAAGTGATATTCTGCACACTGCAAAACCAGCATTTACCACAAAACCTTCACAGTCCTATGGGAAATATCATAAATCATTAACATCAGGGAATAATGATTCCTCTCACCTTTCATTTAGCCCCACCAGTTTATGATGATTCCATACAGGTGGGAGATAAGGTTTGATGCGATTTAATATTTTACCGGACTCTTCTAAGGTGTCCCATATACAGCGATCATTATTACGCACATCAGTCATCTTCTTCTGTCTGAATAAGTAGATATTACACACCATTAGTAAATAACTACTTAAAAATACAAGTTTGGTTTCACCAAATTCTTTAAACTAATACCATTTGTAAATGGTGTAATAAAACACTGAATTTCTATGAATAATTTTTACAAAAAAATATTATTTACAGAGAGGTCAAGGTAAAAAAAACAAGCTCCTTCAACTCTCATCTGATTGGCTCATCATTTATCAAAGAATTAGTTGAAGGAAAGATCTGTTTTGGTTTTCACGGACCAACTCCTTTGTCAGAATAACTAGCATCCTCTAGACTGGATAAAATAGTTTTAGAGTTTTAGAGAACAAAGGATGTAAGTATTGGTGACCTACCTGCCAAACCCTATATTGACTAGAGCTTCCTGATATCCCAGCTTCCTTGTGTGTTTGATGAACTCCTCACATTCCTAAAAAAGACAGAAGTGTGTGACAAAGTTTTACACTTGTATTTCAGACATAATTTGTGAAGAAAGGACTCCATTCTCCTAGATAGACCAATGTGTGTGTTACTAATAATAAGGCTTCAGAATTATTTATTTTGTATGTTACAGACAAAACTGTGTCTCTAAATAAGCATGACATTTGGAAGACATACCCGGTATCTTATTTTCTAATAATTAGTGACAGTCAAGTAATAGCAAACATATCAACTACCCATTCATCACTGCACATTGAGCTTTATAGCAATAGCAAGTCCATAAGCAACATAAGGGACATAACCCAAACCTAGAAGGACAAATTACAACATATCATGACTGGGTTAAAATAACAACACAGTTATCAATCTTATAGTATCATCTAGTAAAACATATATAGGCAATTAGAAACATCCAGAGAAGACCCACTAAATATATACCAGGAATGGCAGACTCTTGCAGCTCCTGACGTTAGCTTACAGGTGTGTCAGAGGAGACATGATAGAACGTTTTAAAACCATGACAGGAAATATGATCCTGAGGTTACCAATTTAATCATATGCAGTTAGAACAATACTGCTACAAGGGGCCATGAATACAAACCATACTACCAGGTAATAGAGAACATGCCTAGATGTAGGTAACAAACTTCATTCAGTCATACAACTGCTGACATTTGGAACAGTCTACCATTTGAGATCATCTCATCAAGAACTGTTAAATCATTTGAATCTTACCTCAATATGCTTTAATTCCAGGGAACCAATTTTAATCCACTGGTAGTTAATATATTGATTGAATATTTATTTCAAAATTAAGAACACATGTATTACTTCAATTGGGAATACTTACCTTACTATACATTTAAACTACATAATCAGTCATTTATATTCACTTCGCGGAAATACATTTTGTATGTCAATGATGATGTCATAATTATTATATAATTATGTATTAGTCTGTAATTGTACAGAGCTGACAGCAGAGTATATTCTAGTCCTTTAGTCAGAATAAAATCTGTGTATCAATATAATTTACTAAACTATTTCATAATATTTTGTTGCAATCTATGGACACATATGGTATATGAAAATGGGGATATCATTTGTTGGTTATCAATTACATGTTGCAAAAGAAAAACAGTCTTGACATTGTATTAATCGTGATTTGGTAATACTTAAGTTGAAATTTAATTCCAAGTGTTTCAATGACTAATGTTTTGACATCTGCTGTTGAAAGATTAAGATTTACCAAATGATCACTATCTTACTATGGAAACCAAATTTCATTAGGTCAACTAATCTCTTTAGACATATTTGCAAAATTACATTTTTGCCAGTGTTATACTTACTTCCTTTGAAAAAACATTATAAAGCATAAAGGCAAGCCTTGATGAGAAGCACTTGGGCAGCTTTAACTCTTCCTTCACGATTGCGGTTCCATTGGGATGCTTGTCATGAAAGATCGTCTTGGATGTTTTGGAAGCCATGAGTACACCAGAATTCAAAGTTCTTGGCAGAAAAATCCCAGAAAACCCCCAAATATTGCAGTAATTACTGTAAATATATATATACAATGTAGCTAAACAACCATACAAGGTGTATGACAGTATAAAATGTAGCTACCAATATGCGTATTACTGTATACAATATAGCTACCAATACGCATATTACTGTATACAATGTAGCTACCAATACGCGTATTACTGTATACAATGTAGCTAAATGTAAATAAGCACATTTAAGCATACAATGTAGCTAAATAAACACATTAAAGTATACAATGTATGTGTAGCTAAATAAACACATTAAAGTATACAATGTACATGTAGCTAAATAAACACATTAGAGTATACAATGTACATGAAGCTAAATAAACACTTTAAAGTATACAATGTACATGTAGCTAAAAAAACACATTAAAGTATACAATGTATTAATATTACTCAGGTACATTCACTTACACATATGTTATGCATTATCTAAGCAATAGCAGTATGGAATGTACCTCAGTGTGCCTGCATGCCTTATAGATACTCTCAGAACATGCATGGAACATGTATCTTGTTTCACCAGGGAGAGCTAAATGTAACTTCTGTGTTTTGCTACAGTGATATAACCATGTTTTTTCTATTCTCTCTATCAATTAATTACTATTGTCTATACTTTTCGGTGTTCTTCAATCCAGTAGAATAATACTCACTCACTCACTTTCTAGAATATTTCCCTACCTTGAGTGATGTGTGACAGCGAAATATCCTACCTGAGGGGTGATGTGTTTTGGTTGTCTGACCCATCAGTCTCTAAAAATTACCCGGAGGGTTGGACATTTTTCTGTTACACCTTCAAGGTAGGAGATGATAATTTTACTCCCATCATTTTATTTCAGTCACAACTCCACCGACATTAGTCTGCCATATGTTTGTAAACAAAGCACATGTGGGGTATGAATTATCGTCATTCACTTTTGATGATGTCACAATTACAGAAGACACATTTTAATGACGTCACAATTTAACACGTCTTAATCAACAAGAGGCTATCTCCCCTTAGGGGGTGACAAGCTGATCTTTCCCGTCTAAAACAGGAGACACATCTGTGAAGGGTGGGAGAATAAACATTGAACATCACATCATGTTACATTAATTGACATTACATTATTCAGTTACATGACATGACAGAAAGCTTTTTGTTTGAAATAAATATAAAAAAATATTCATATGAAATGTTATAATATAGTTAATGTTATATCTATATCAGTGGTTTATCTACTTGCTAACAGAATTTACTCGGCGTAGAAAGTGGCAGTATTTACTTTTTAGAGAGCATAAATGCAAATCCAAAGCCTGTGGATCCGGACATGGAGACTGTTTCAAGCCGCAGACAAATTCATATTATTACAGGCAGACCTAAGGAATACAAGTTGTCAATTTATAACTCACTGACCACAAGCAGCTTCGCGACGTTGAGTAGGAAGAAATGACTCGCTTGTTCTATTTTTAAATCATCATTTCCAAAAATAGAAAATGACAAATAATCCCAAAACACTGTCATATAAAGGAAGACTGTCAGACCTTCCTGGATTACCATCAAACATCTATATATGTCACTAGTTCATATTTATAATAAATGCATAATTTGTGTTTACTTCCGGATTGACATGTTTTGCTGTTTTGTTAGAATACAAAGTACATAGTACAAATAAAAAGGACATAGATAGTATCAACTTGTAAAATATGAAGAAATCAACTTCACATCACAAATAGATTTTCGGGATTGATTCACTCATATTTACATTATTATTTTGTCATTTTTGATAAAGGAAACCACCATGGCAACATCTTCAGAAAACGAAAGTACGTTTTACTCGGAATGCCTTTAGAAGTATTATAAAAACACAAGACTTTCCGAAAATGTTGTTGGCTGTTCTATGTATTGAACATACAAATGAAACACTGAAGGTGTTATTTCGTTTTACTTCTTAGTTTTTTCGACTTATTCATATAAATATATGTAACAGAATAATTTGATTATTTTTGAATAGTGAGATAGAAATTTACATTAATTCTAGGGTGTTTGTCTCTATTTAAAAACATATTTCGTACACAGGTCGTCACGTATGTGTAAAATAGTTATAACCAACCAACACAATTCCTTCCCGGAAGTTATCATAACTGGACCAAAACAAACTGAGGCATCATGGAGAAAATGAAACCTTTTAAAGAAAGAAGAACGTTTGGTAAAGATAACTCGTTGAGTTCTGCCGATAGATCCTTAAGTTTTGTCAGGAACCGACCCATCAAATGAAAATTTATATAGACCTGCATAATTTTTCACAGTAACAGACCAAATTATCAGCTGATCAAGCAATGATAGAAACTGCGCGTCTCCTTGATCGTAACACAGGAACTCGCTTCTATCAATAGATAGGCCTACGTGAAAAAGACAAAGCCTGAACGAAACGTAGCTTTTGCTAATCTTTGATATTTACTTATTCATTATGTATATATATTTTTATCATTATTATTGTCATCCATGATTGTTATCTATTTTTCCAATACATTTGTTGCCCTTTACAAGACACTGGTAAGACTGCATATAGAGTATAGCTCCACCGTTTGGTCCCCGATGCTGTTGAAAGACAAAATTGCCATTGAAAACGTACAACGTCGAGCCACAAAAAGAATCCCGCAACTTAAGGACATGTCGTACACCAACAGATTACGAAAATTGGGACTACCAACACTGGAATACAGAAGGGAACATGCAGATATGGTAGAACTATACAAAATACTGAACGGGATTGACATCGTCAAACGGGCCGACATGTGTGCACCACCGGAAGTAAACCCCACAAGGGGGCACTAAAAAACATTCAGATTAAACATAAACAGAAATGTCTTCAGCAACTGAGAGTTGTCAATATATGGAACAACCTTACAGAGGAAGTAGTTTCGGCAGAAAACATCAATACGTTCAAGCATCAACTGAACAAGCACTGGAATACTCATCCCAGGAAATTCAGTGCTTCCTTTTATTAAACAGTGAACATTGCGTGTACATAAACTGTAAATAAACTTTACATATTAAGCTTGCGCGCAACCGGAAGTAAAGGCGTTAAAGGTAAACGCGAATAAAGCAAAAAGAAGAGGCATCGCCACAATCTCTACAAAGATTTTCAATGATGGAATATTACTATGATTACTATGATATTTTTGCGCTAGTTGATAGCATTGTGGCCGATATTACCTTGGCCCGATATAACCAAATACCCTCACCTTCCACCAGGCGACCAGGTTCGATTCCAAATTGTGTCGCCTGCATGCTACAACATTACTCCTATTAGCCCGCCCCACACCAGGTGGGCAATTTTATTTTAGCGGGGGGGTGGGGGAGGAGGACTTGTTTCATTATCACTGTGAAGTAAATAAACTTTGTGCTATATATATTAGACGACATACCAATTTAATATATAAAGAAATAAGTCTAAAAATAAAATGAAAAAAAGGGAACATTGTAATACTCAAACGTAACAGAGATGGTAAATCCAACGAGCTCAGGGCGTTATATTTGATATGGTAGAGTCTAAATTCCTGAATGTATAGATCAATTATGTAAAGATTCAAACTGAACTTAAAAAGATGTGAATTATTTTGATCAGAAGACCGATATTCTCAACAAATTTAACCAAAAACTTTATTATTATCATTATTATTATGATCTTTTTGGTGGTATCTCCCAGTAGGTATATTAAAAAAGGTTGACCGATGAAAAAAGAATCTTAAGAAATTATTCACATATTTATTTTCTGAGCCTGTGACAAAAACAGTTAGTCTGCATGAACACACCAGCAAAAATGTACGCCTTCGTTGTCACCAATTTTTAGGTCACCTGAGCTTTGCTCAGGTGACCTATTCCAATCGCTTTTCGTCCGTCGTCTGTCGTGCGTAAACTTTTACATTTTCAACTTCTTCTCAAGAACCAGTGGATGGATTTTTTTCAAACTTGGTCAGAATCATCCTTGGTAGATGAGGCTTCAAAATTGTAAAATTGGGATTCCTACCCCAACCCCTGGGGCCAGGGCGGGGCCCCAAAGGGAAAATTAATCAATATTTCAAAAATCTTCTTCTCCAGACTCAGAGGTACTACAGTGATTTTCTCTACGTGGAAAGAAAGATCATCAGGGGCTTTACTTAAATTGTAAATTTCAGGACCCCCGAGCTATCCGTTCTCCCTTGGGGAGGGGGTAAAGTTTACTATAGTTTATATAGGGAAATAACACTTTTGGGTATATTTTGACAACTTTCTGTAGGAAATTATTTTTACTTGGTGAGAATTATCCTTGGAGGTAGATGGTTTCAAATTGTAAAATTGAGATTCCTACCCCGACCCCTGGGGCCAGGGCGGGGCCCCAAAGGGAAAATTAATCAATATTTCAAAAATCTTCTTCTCCAGACTCAGAGGTACTACAGTGATTTTCTTTACGTGGAAAGAAAGATCATCAGGGGCTTTATTTAAATTGAAAATATCAGGACCCCGAGCTATCCGTTCTCCCTTGGGGAGGGGTTAACGTTTAATATAGTTTATATAGGGAAATAACACTTTTCGGTATATATTTTATCCATTTTCAGCAGAAAATTGCTCAAACTTAGTCAGAATCATCTTGGGTAAATGAGAGTTTTACTTTGTAAAATTAGGATTCCTGCCCCATCCCCAGGGGCTAGGGCGGGGCCCCAAAGGGAACATTTACCAATATTTTCAAATTCTTATCCATTGATGACATGACAAGTATTGTATTTCACTTAGTTTACATGCTGATTTCCACATCACATCTAAACAATAAAATAAAGCTACCAGTACCTATGATATAACTCAGGTGACCGCTAAGGCCCTTGGGCCTCTTGTTTTCTGTGGGGGCAAAATAGGCGTGAAGGAGACATTCTTATATCAGTAAACACTGTTTGTAAAAAAAGTCAATCTTGTGTTGGTATGAACTTCCCCTATTTTCATTAATTTCAAATGTGAAAAGAATGAAAAATAATTTTCCTTCAAACAACCCATATTTCACTACGAAACAAGAGTACCGCCGGGCGGAACAATATACGCCCGTCGAATGCCATATAGTGTTATATACTTTCTTACATTGAAATAAGATCTGCATCATTCTAAGAGTAGTTAGCTGACATGCTATAAAAATTGTAGGAGAAAATCTCCGGACAAAAAATAAAATACTGAAATGAACAAAGGGCAATAACTTTTGCCAAAATTGTCGAATCAATTTTTTTTTCTTTTTCTTTTATTAACAATCAATAATGCATATAGGATCTTAAATAAATTCTCGTCTCGAAGTTTTAATTTTTGCTCGCCAAGGCTCGCAAAAATATAAACTCCTAAGACTCGTTTCATAAAATCTCATATGAAATGAATTTTTTTTTAAGATCCTATATATATTATTGATTGTTAATATTTGTCCTAAAAAGTCTTTTATCACTCAACAAAGTGTTACCTAATTATATAACGAGCATGTAATGTTCAGAGTTATCCATCCACACACTGAACTAAGTGCTAAGTAGGTAGGTCCCAGGGTCATACCACATTGCTTAAAAATCTAACTTGCCGGGTCACCTCAACCTAATACATGTACAACTGTTGATAATACTGAATTTTCTTATATTCTTTTTCTTAGATCAAAGACAGAATGATGTTGATTCCATCAAGATGCAGCATGTGGATAAAATACCGGTAATTATATATAAGGAATGCAGTATATGTTTTCACTGTTCATCTTCAGAATCAATATTCTTGTATTTTTGTAAAAATTTAAGAAATATTTAATTGATGTAATTTCTAGATCAACAACGTCTTTTAAGTTGCAACTGATCTCTAAGCCGATGCAATCCTATAGAGATACCTATATATTTGATTATAACATGAGACCTATACCAGCACATTATAAAACACAGGAGATTTCTGACCTCAACTTTTATAGTTATCATAGATTGTTTAAACTTGACCACAGTAGCCCGAGAAGGTAATATAATTATTATAGAGATAATATGTATGAGTAAAACACAATAAAGTGTATACATATACTTAAGTATAAAAAGAAATTGCTTGACCTCTACCCCTGCACATTATCATATACAAAATGTACAGCGTGGACAAATATATGATGAATTATTTGACCTTCACTCTTATCCTACAGGTGATCATCGAGAGATATGAGAGAGAAAACAGCTTACCATTACTAGACAAGACCAAGTTTCTGGTTCCCGACAATGTGAATATGTCTGAACTGGTCAAGATTATCAGGTATATAAACAATTCTATGTATATCTTGTATAAAGGTAAACTACCAAAGGTGTTGAATTTCACTCGAGTGATACTCTGCATTTACTATGAAAATATAGGTGGGGCAAGTAGAGGTTTTCAAAATCAACCAGAAAAATGGGGGGTAATATTCTAGTTATGAAATTTGACACCCAATCTGTCCATGACAAATAATTGCATATTGTATGTTGTAACTGTCTCATAGGTCTCTTGAGCTGAAACTAAAGTGATATATTGCTATTCTTTGCACCTCAAGCTCTTCATCCATTGCCCATCATCTGTTAACAATTGTCATTTGCACTTCTTCTTTTGCCTAGGGTCACGATATTTAGCCTGTAGCTGGTAGGAATGGGGGACAGATTATTGAAGTTGTTCAACTAATAACATGACATTAAATTTTATCTAAGGGCACAGGGATCAAAAAATCTTTTTCTTGTGAACCAAAAGGCCTAGGGTCATTCTCTTTTGCCTTAATTTAGCAAAGATGGAGCTCTATCATTTGTTAAAATAAAATCCTTCAATCAAATTCACAGGAGTAAATAGATATTAAATCTTTAAACTCTATTCTGTTGCTATCACATTAGCATACATGTAACATTAAAATAAGGACTCCTCTTGGTCAGAAATTTTAGGTATTATTTATTTGATTCAAATTTTGTTTATAGTTATAATATGGAACTTTGAACACTATCACACAGGTATTCATTACCTTATTTTGCATAGAATCTAATCAAGAGGTTTCTGGTAAATTGAAATTACTTATTGTCCAATTTTGTTCATTTTTGATATGTACATGTAGTAATTTTATAGTAAATTAAAAAAACTTGATATGTTTTTGAAAACCTGAAACTACAATGAAGTGTTCTATTTCTTTCAAATTTGGTACAAGAGGCTTTTACAGAAATTTGAACACTACTGTATTTTCAGTAAAGTAGTGCAAAACCATCCTCAATGCCTAGGCAGATTGGTTTGAAATTGAACAACTGTCCTCCTTACATCAAACGTGTTGACATTATATATATTTGACATTGCATTTGACAGTGGTACATACAATGAAGATACCCACTGTGTGATTCACAATGCCTTAGAATATAATCGTATGTAACTGTTTCATATTTTCCCCTATATACCAAGATAAAATTAAGAAATCTAAACTATAGTGCATGTACTTGTTAAGTATTTTGCCATTGTAAGAAGTTATCTTAACAGTACAACAAGTGCTTTTAATTTTAACATGATGTATTAAAAAGATACAACTTGGCAGCTTTTACCATTCTATAGTCATTATACAGACCATAATTAGCTGTCTGCATTACAAACACAAAGCTAAAAGCTTAAGACAACTGATTTGTATCATAATGAAGTCTAATTAGAGTAATGTAAGGACTATTAATAACAGTCCCCTTTGGTTGCTTAAACACAATATATATAATATAGTATGAAGGCTAGCACTAAACCAACATACCATTGGAAAGAAGCATTATAATGTTTTACTAGGGTGATTTTTGCTTTTGTCTGGTACAATTATACACCCCGGCAACTGTTAGTGACTATAGGGCTGTTTTTAATTTTGGTAATTTTATTTTGTAAATCAAATAAATCTGTTATCGCTGTCAGATATAAAAACAACATTTTTCACCATTTTATACTTGATTTGTTACCCTTGTTGATCCCTGACCTTGTTGATCCCTTACCTTGTTGATCTCTGACCGTTTTGATCTGTGACCTTGTTGATCTCTGACCTTTTTGATCCCTGACCTTGTTGATCTCTGACCTTGTTGATCCCTGACCTTGTTGACCCCTGACCTTGTTTATTTCTGACCTTGTTGATCCCTGACTTTGTTGATCCCTGATCTTGTTGATCCCTGACCTTGTTGAAGCAAAATATTATTGATCTCTGACTTTTTTGATCCCCGACCTTGTTTACCCCTTACCTTTTTGATCCCTGACCTTGTTGACCCCTTATCATATTGATTTCTGACCTTGTAGAAGGAGACTTCAGCTGCATCCGTCCCAAGCCTTCTTCTTAATGGTGAATGAGAGGACGATGGTCAGCAACACAACCCCGATCTGTGAGGTGTACAACAAAGAAAAGGACAGTGATGGGTTCCTCTACATCACTTATGCGTCACAGGAAACATTTGGAGCATCGTAAAGAAAAAGCTTACCACAAATTATTTTCAGTTGCATCTCGAGTCAGTATAGATATGGGGAGTGATTTTGCTTCAAGAATGATGTTTGTTCACTTGTAATAACACTGGGACCCTTAAAAACTATCTTTAAGGGGTCATTTAGTCATTAGTGATGACACAATTTTATTTCACACTTAACTCAATCTGGGTACTTTGTTACATAATATATTGCAAACAAGAGTTGTATGTAGCTTCAAAATTAATGTAATAAGACAATGTAATTTCAACATTTGAATTTTGACCAAAAAGGAAAACAACAGCTTTTTAAATGAAAGTATATGCACAAATGGTCCCTATAGTAATTTTGAACGTTTATCTTATACACAAAATAAATTATCAAGTATGTTAAATGTAAAAAAAAAAAGACTCGCTCATGCCAATGATTAAGGTGTTGTTATAGACCATGCTTCAAGTAGAAAGGTTATGTATGACAACCAGTAAGTGATACATTACCTTTCAACTATTTAAATTTAATTACCAACCTGAAGAAATGTTTGGTAAAATGGAAAATGCTAATGATTCAGATAAGTTCCTGAATTTGCATTCCAACCTTGCTTCAGCTTGAATAACTACCACAAAATGTGTAATGATAAGATAAATAATTTCTTGTTCTTTTGTTTTTTTAATGTAATTGTATCAGCATTAATTGTTTATCAAGGGCAACAAATTAAACGTTCTCCCACATGATTGCTGTCAGTGACGTTTATTACAATGACATCACAATCAGATGACAGTGTTATATCACAACGATAAGTCAGTCAAAACGCTGGCAAATGATACCACTTAAGGAACATATGCTATATTGCACAAACCTACTCTTAAAGTCTTGCATGGATATTTGGATTTGAGGTACATTATTGTATACATAATCATTTTATGTACTGTATTATTTTCTTCTCTTTTCAAAATTGGCCTTAGTTTATGCATACAATTTATGTCAATTTTGCTAACAAGTAAGCGTTACATTTGCATTTTATATATCATGTTTTACGTGAAAACTTAAGATATGAAGTAGGAGAAAAAGATTTAATTATTATATAGGTACATGTATAAGATAAGGCAATCCTACCATCGGGTGAGGATTTGGTGTGAGAGCTTCAGCCCAGACCCAAATTTTACACTTGGAGGTAGAATATCCATACCCTGCCAGCGTATACATGATAGACTCTACTAATATTATTGTCAAGGACTTTGTGATGTGGATGTAAAACATGCCAACCTCATTAAATAGCCCCTTAATCCTTTCATCCCTATGTAACTTCAGTAGACTCTACCATATATTGATATGGATGAGTCCATTATGGTTTTCAGTGGTGAAAGGGTAAATGCTGTAGTTTAAAACCCTATTTGGTCAGTGAACACATATGTTTTTATCTATGATTTGTTATACAGCATTGTCAATAATACATATACAATATATAAATGTAGAAATTTATGTTATGGATATACAACACTTGAGCATGTAGTTGAAATGAGCATAATACTTTCCTCATGGATGGGTTTCCACGGACTTTCAGACAATGTTTCATTATTTGAAAGATATAAAGCATTATGATTATTTTCGTAGTATCAAACAATATACGACTTGCCAAACACTTTCACCAGAACAATTAGAAGAACAGTTTTAGTCTTAGATCTGGCCCATAATATGTAGTGAAAATGGTATTGCAGAGCAATGCTACTCCTCCAGATCAGTGTTGAATGGTTTGGTTTTTGATAATGATATGTTTGTGTGGTCCATACTGTAATGTTCTATTTACAGTAAAGTAACAGTGACCTTAACCTTTGTACTTCGAAACTGAAAAATAAACCAATTTTCTGTAAGGGAGCAGCACATGAAGTTTGAGTGGTATCAGACTACTTAAGATTGTGTACAAAAACAATTATATATTTTTAGTAACTGTAACTTGACCTTTGACCTTCCGATTTCAAAAGCAATCTTAAGCAACACTCTCTGTAAGAAAGCAATGTATTAGGTTTGAGTTTGATTGACTAAAGGGAAGCTGAATTATCAACAGAAACTAAATTCCAATTTTTAAGTGTACCAGTTACCTTCACCTTTAACTTTTGACGTGAAAGTAATTCTAATCAAGTCCTTTCAGTGAGGAAACTTTATATGGTTTTGGAGTGGATTCGTTCCTCATGAACTCAAAGTTTTGTGAAGAAACAGTTTGGACGGACAAGGTGGTTACAATCGTAAAAATAAAAGCTTAAAGTTTTGTGTGACTAAAAATAAAATGAAACTTGTTGTTGTATTAGTTAATAAGTAGTATACCTGTCCTGTACAACACAAACCAACAACAGGATGCAGGTTAACCTAAAGCCAATTTAAACGGATTTTGTTTGAAACATTTTACTGTTTGTATGTTATTCTAAGTCATTTTAACGTAACATTTATTTGCTTGAAGAAAACAGAGAAATCAGTAGAAACCCGGCGTTGTACTCTGTCCTTCTGCAAATCAATGTGCAATTTAAAGGCCATTGGCAGTTAATTTTTATAAGAACTGAGAACATCTTATTGTGATACCTTCACTTTGTTTTGCAATCAGCTAATTCCTTAGAATAAAATATTGTTGGCAATCAGTCAATTTCTGAAAATGATATGTTGTGACATTGTACTATACTGCCCATTCCTTTTTAAGCTCTCTTTTTTGTCTGACAATTAATCCGTTCACAATATTTTACCAGCTCGCTTGAGAAAAAAGGGTTATCGCTGCTTTTTCAGAATTTGGAAGCATTCTGTAATCATTATAATATTCCAAATTTGCTCATGTATTGCATGGAGGTTGAATACAGTATTAATTATTAATATAATAAGACTTTTTTTTTTAAATAATTATTTATTAACATTGTAATTATATTTTGAAATATAATGGGATGCTTTGTTGTTTGTTAAGGACATTTTGGTGAATGTTTAATATCATGTGTAGTATCTTGTTATTCTGACCGTGACATCGTTTACCCAAAGTATGGTACTATTACACTGTTAAGTGTTCAGCACCGAGTTCTTTGAGGCAGCTTGTTCAAATCTTGTGTCTAGAAAAGTTGATTTGTAGAAAGAATTTGTTTAATTTTCACATCTTAATGCCAAGTATTTTATTTTGCATGATGATTCACCATATTATCAAGTTGTACCGGTGTATATCTAACTATAACCTGTATCTATGATAATATCCAAAGGTTCATCGTATAAAGATTATTTCAGAAATCAAAAAATATATGAGGGCATTGAGGCACTATTTTATGTCCTGCAAACATTTTCGCCTGTGGGCCACTAAAAAGAATGTTAATTAATCAATGTCACTCCTTCCCATTATATATTTTATATCCATTTGTCATTTTCTAGAATAGCACTTAAAATTAGTATTTTCCTTTTTACTAAAATAGCTTACGTACGTCAAGTATATCAGACTTTCTGATTAATACTGGCAATGTTACAGAAGACTATCATTTCCGCTTCTGATTAATACTGGCAATGTTACAGAAGACTATCATTTCCGCTTGAAATAATAAAGAATACTGTATCGTACATTACCTTTCACATAATCTCATAATGAGGAGATAACTCGTAATTACAATATATGGCTCCGATAAAATGGAACTATGACTAGTTTTGCGTTAGTTCAATTTCCATCAAAATGGGAGCGTATGCATGGTTTACAAATATTTTCTAGTTCTGTATCTTTTTGTTAAGATAAGCAGGACTTTGGGCTAGGTGTTTATATTTATCTCATGTTCAGATTAACAGTGCACAATTCCTTTTTTTATCGCAAACATTTCATCCGGCCAACTTTCTATAAGCAATTCAGATATACTGCATAATGATCATGTAGCAGTTAAAATATGTTCACTATTTAAGATACCCTCCCCCATGAAACAAGCAAAAAAATCAGTTTCACGCTTTTAGATACGTAGGACAAAAAAAAGCAAAACAAATAAAAGTAGTTTCACATTTTGGGTACGTACGAAAAAAAAAAGCAAAATATTAATAGCAGTTTCACGCTTTAATAAACGCAAGTAAAGCAAAAAAATAATAGTAGTTTAACACTTAAATATTCAATATACGTACGAAAAAAGCAAACATTTAATAATAGTTTTACGCTTTAATATGCATACGAAATTAAGGGCAAAAAAATAATAAATGTTTTACACTTAAATTTACATACGAAAAAAAGCAAAAAGCAAAAAACTTATTAATAGTTTCACACTTTATTATACGTAAGAAAAAAGCAAAAACAAAATAATAATGTAACACTTTAAGATAAACAAGGCATTCACGCAACAATAGTTTTTTTCCACAAATGAGGTGAGTCCATTGCAGAGAAAGTATGCAAGCCTTCTTCTTGACGATTAGATCATTATTAACAATTTGCGAATTATTCTGTTAATTACCAAACAATGAATAATAGAAGATAATATGTCTGGACATTCTTAAGCTTATTAAGCTACTTTGTTTAACTACTACTAAATATCACTTAATGATAAGAAAATCTCTTCTATAAAAAATACACCCCTTTTTATGTTTTAAATAATTGATTCAACATAGAATGGACGAGTTGAATAACTTGATCTGATTAGTTACACTGTATTATTGTAATATAAGTAGTTTGTTGTTTATTAGTTATTTTATTTGCTTACCAGTTGTAATTATTTTAGCAATCACTAACGAGTCCAGGCATTGCTGTGGTTGTTCGGGATGTCTCTGTGTAAGACCAGCTGTCAGCCTTGACCTTTATCGTGACAGACAGTAGTAGGTGTTTTTCAGGTCTCAGACGGTGGAGCTGTGGAACACGCATTGGGTTTACTGTCACAGCTAATGTAACTTAAATACATTTTGTTGAACAATCTGTTCTGAGAACTGTTTTCTAAAAGTCGTTCAGTTACACGCAGACGCAATGCAGGTGGATTGTGTATTTACATGGGATTTAATTTTGAAAATCATGTTAAACAAATTTTGATTTAATGTTTGTTTAACTACGTAGGAAGACGCCATTATGTATTACAACCTTTATGTATACTGTACGTTAAATGAATAATTATTATGTTATATCAATCTTTGTTGTTTTTTCATTTAAACGTTTATTTTTATTCCCTCAGCTTCAATTGAGATTTGTTCATTTCATATTTCTTTCAACATTCAATAAAACCTAAACGTGACATGATCTGCAAGTAAGAAATTACAAATTTGTTACCGGAACAGTTGTTCGAATTCAAATCGCTAACATTTGAAAAAATATGAACAGGAAATATTCACACATAGACTCGAAAAGCTATTTGACTACTGTGACAGTTATTAAAAGGGAAAAGAAACGACTTGATAATGAGGACACTGGATTATTTTTGCTGAATTAGCGAGGCTCAGTTGTATATTTTGTTTTCATTATTCAATTCGACTAGGAACAAATGGTAACTGTATACCAGATCTTTTGATATCGTGGCCCATTCTTTAAAGATCGCAAATCAACAACAGTAACCAGTTTCAAAATAAGGATTCCTATCTACAGCTGTATGTAACTATATGTATGACGGTAGTTTTGTTTACATGGTGAAGTACTATTACATCATTAGTGTATTCATTGTAGTCTGCTACTCCTCATTAGAACCAAGATCAGTGAAATGTATTTTTAACGACTATAACACTGAATAGACCAACATTGTATAGTTGGTCCATGGATCATCCTCGATATCCAGGGGTTACGCTCACTTTCGCTCTCTACACCCCTGGAATGTGTCAGCAAAGTGAAGGCTCAATGTGCGAAGACCAGTTCGATCCTTTGATGTACATCAAAAGAATCTCGCAGTCTTGTAACGGTACAAATTGACAGGCTTTGGAGTTGGGCGTCTCTCCTTTGTAATCTTCAAAGGACAGCTATCAGCCTAGCGGTTTGTTTTTTTTTTTTTTTTTTTTTTTACCTGAGACCAATCAAACAGCTATCTTCGAGCCTTCAATTTTGCTCCAGAGGTGTAGAGAGCGAAAGTGAGCGTAACACCTGGATATCGAGGATGTCCATGGAGAGGCACTCTTTCCTATTTTCTGTAAAAATGCATATTTTATCAACCTCAAATCAAAATGTGTAAATTCACCACTCTACAGCTTCAAACCAATAAATCATGGGAATATGTACATTCCTGTTATGATAGTCATCATTTTATATAAATGTACAGTAGCACTCAACTATAACGAATATTGTAGTACACGGTATTATGATATGCTACTCCTTATTACATAATGCAACACTTATTACTAGTACATATGTGTATACTAATAATAATCTACAGCATTTGATATAGCACCCTATCTAGCTAACATAAGACACTCTTAAGCGCTTTACAGTACATGGATTTACAGTTAATAAGCATATGCATTTATCAAAACAATTTATAATTGATAAATATTCTACAGTACATTTATGATTTACTTCTTAATATACAAACATTCATATTGAATGCCTAGGTACAAATCTATATGTTTGTCAACAACATTGCTATATGGGAAGGATTTCCTTGATATTCAGCCTGTTGAGGGAGGGTTTGATATGAGAAATAATTGATTTCCGTGGTAATCGCAGGTGAAAAACTGAGAAGATGGTAAAATGTAATCAATGATAAATAAAAACGAACAAGATATATGTAAGTTAAGATGGTGGTGTGTGTGGGTGGGTGTTTAAATGGAGAGGCGATTAATGCCACGAAGTTTAAAAGACAATTGTTTTAACCTATTCTCTAAAGAAATTACTCTCCCTAATTGAAATAAATAGTTTGTAAGGTGTTAATCGACTGTTCGAAAAGAGTGAATTCCATCATTCTGTCTTCATCTGTAAAACTAACGCAAATAGAACGGTACCACTTCAAATTAAACTAATGTTTCCGGACAATTCCTTGCACTAAAAACTAACTAGACTCTCTTCGCGAGTGGTCTCCCATTTGTCGTATGCTCGATAGGTCAGTGTTCTAATATTTCATCATCAGCGACCTTTTAATTGGGTGTTTGTGGAGGTGGCAGCAGTTTTCATGCTTTCATGACTGGATTTTGATGTGATTGCTAACATATCTTTTACGAACTTGGAAAAGGCTTTATAACACTGAAAAGGTAGCTTGATACACTTGTGTAAGTGGTCGTCTTTAAAATCATTTTCAAAAACAAATTTGAACATCTTGATTTTATTACCACTTAAACAATATGCGTCAAAAGTTAATATTGGGATGTGCATCATTTAGGTGTTATGCATCTTCGATATTGAACGTCTACGAACAAAAAGGATGCAAAACTAATGTTAGTATAAACAAAAAGACTTGACAAGACATGTGTATAGTTTAGCTGGTCCAATAGAGAAATCGTGACAGTCACATGAAATATTTCGGTTAGCATGCTCAGTGATGGACGGTCAAGGCTAATGGTATCTAGGGTATAGCAACGATATCTGCACATAGTTATGCATTCCTATGAATGAATCCATTGACAGCCAGTCAGACTTTGAATTAGCTCAGTGATAACTTGACAGACTGGTACGAAACGTGAGTGCTGGCAGCCTGTGTATAACGTTTTTGTAAACGGACATTTCAATAAAAAGTATTACACATTGTATAGACCACCCTCACAGTCCTAACGATTAACGTTCTTGTAAAAGGACATTTCAATAAAAAGTATTACACATTGTATAGACCACCCTCACAGTCCTAACGATATAACGTTCTTGTAAAAGGACATGTCAATAAAAAAAATTATTACACATTGTATAGACCTCTCACAGTCCTAACGATATAACGTTTTTGTAAAAGGACATTTCAATAAAAAGTATTACACGTTGTATAGACCACCCTCACTGTCCATAGAAGAAGTGGGTATGGTACACCCTAGCTGAGACTAGCAGAGTGTGTGCTGGTGACATGTAGCTGAATCACGGCCAGGAGACATGACGCAGTACCGAGAACCTCTCAATGTCTACATCTCTGTACACAGAAGTACTAATGGCCTAGTCTAGGAATCAATCAAGGAGGGGTAAATATTATGTGAACTTTGAAAAATTATAAGATGTTAGGAAAGCAGATAGTATTAGAAAAGCCCAGAGTGTCAAGAGGTAAAATGGTAGACGAACACCTCCGAACTACACACGGGATGGGAAGGTATTGAAAGTATTTGGACCAATAAAGGAATGCACCATGTAGCGGTAGACAGGTAACCGGATTAATCACATAAAATAGAAAGATGGAAGCACTTATTAACTTAGTATATCAATTCAGAAATCCAAATAACTGCACCATAAGGCAATTTAGTGTATTTGAGGCTCATCAGTGGTATGAAGGGTGAAAAGAATTCAAATCCACCTCGTAAGTGTCAGGGTCCCCAAAACATACGTGTATGTGTGGAAATACAACGAAAGACTAAATATACCAATACACACTGGATATTAACATACATGTAAATATACCAATACACACTGGATAGCTTTACAATCAGGTAAATATACCAATAAACACTAGATAGATTAACATACATGTAAATATACCAATACCCACTAGATGGATTAACATACATGTAAATATACCAATAAACACTAGATAGATTAACATCATGTAAATATACCAATACCCACTAGATAGATTAACATACATGTAAATATACCAATACCCACTAGATGGATTAACATACATGTAAATATACCAATACACACTGGATAGATTGATATACATGTAAATATACCAATACACACTGGGTATATTAACAAACATGTAATAATATACCAATAAACACTAGATACATAAACATACATGTAAATATACCAATTAACAAAAGATAGATAAACATACATGTGAATATACCAATAAACACTAGATAGATTAACATACATGTAAATATACCAATACCCACTAGATAGATTAACATACATGTAAATATACCAATACACACTGGATAGATTAACATACATGTAAATATACCAATACACACTGGGTAGATTAACAAACATGTAAATATACCAATAAACACTAGATAGATAACATACATGTACATATACCAATAGACACTAGATAGATTAACATACATGTAAATATACCAATAAACACTAGGTAGATATACATACATGTAAATATACCAATAAACACTAGATAGATTAACATACATGTAAATATACCACTTCCCACTAGATAGATTAACATACATGTAAATATACCAATAAACACTAGGTAGATATACATACATGTAAATATACCAATAAACACTAGATATATACACATACATGAAAATATACCAATAAACACTAGATAGATGAACATTCATGTAAATATACCAATAAACATTAGATAGATAAACATACATGTAAATATACCAATACACAATAGATAGATGAACATACGTGTAAATATACCAATAAACATTAGATAGATAAACATACATGTGAATATACCAATAAACACTAGGTAGATATACATATATGTAAATATACCAATTCACACTGGATAGCTTTACAATCAGGTAAAAATACCAATAAACACTAGATAAATGAACATATATGTAAATATACCAATACACAATAGATAGATGAACATACGTGTAAATATACCAATAAACACTAGATGTATACACATACATGTAAATATATATATACACATACATGTAAATAAACCAATAAACACTAGGTAGATATACATATATGTAAATATACCAATTCACACTGGATAGCTTTACAATCAGGTAAAAATACCAATAAACACTAGATGTATACACATACATGTAAATACACCAATAAACACTAGATAGGTTAACATACATGAAAATATACCAATAAGCACTAGATGGATGAACATTCATGTAAATATAACAATAAACATTAGATAGATAATACATGTAAATATACCAAGAAACACTAGATATATACACATAAATGTAAATATACCAATAAAAACTAGATAGATGAACATACATGGATGGATTAACATACATGTAAATATACCTATACACAATAGATAGATGAACATACGTGTAAATATACCAATAAACATTAGATAGATGAACATACATGGATGGATTAACATACATGTAAATATACCGATGCC